GGTTTCTCCTGGGGTCCTCGCGGAGCCACTTGGGGCACTCTGGGGGTTTTCTTCGGGTTCTTTTGGGGGGTCTGGGGGCCCTCTTGGGGCTTTTTGGAGGTTTGGGAAACCTCTTGAGGCAATTTTGGGCACACTGTTCAAAAAGAGGGGGGTCTTCACATAAATTCAGCATCCCCCCTCATCGGAGGCTCAAACATTGCGTTTTGGGCCGTCTTGGGGCCGTCTTGGGGTGCTCTTGGGCGCTCTTGGGGCCGTCTTGGGCCCCTCTTGGGGCTTTTGGGCCGTCTTGGGGCCATCGTAAGGCTTCAAGAGCCCTTCGGAGGGGAAGAAGCGAGACGGCAAGACACATGGATTTTCCTTCGGTTTTGGAACCCAGTTTTGCCTCGGAGGGGGGTCCTTGAAGAGCTCGGAGGGCACTTGAAACCGTTTTGGGGCCGTCTTGAGGCCTCCCGGATATTTGTCGGAGGCCCCCTTGAGCCATCCTGAGGTATCTTGAACCATCTTGGAGGCCATCGTGGGTTCTCTGAAACCTTTTTGGAGCTTTTTTGGCCATGTAGGACGCTCTGACACCCCCACCCCCCCCTCCTGGGCCCAGGGGAGGGGGTGAGGGGAGGAGTCAACACACCCCCTAGATAGCAAACCGTCTAGCTCACTCCCACCCGCCCTCCTAACACATAGATAACACCCGAGCCTGAGCATGTTCAGCGGTCGTCTTTGGATGGGCAGCTACTGGGAATCCAAACTGGCCCCATGTGCGCGACGCTGGGGCGAGGTGCGTCACGCGTGCCAGGCGCGCCACGCGCGCCAGGCACCCCTGGGGCCCGAACGTGCCAGGCACGCCTGGTGCGCCAGATGCGCCACTTGTTCCGCGTGCGCCAGGTGTGCCGCCTGCGCGCGTGACAGCGCACATCGGGAAACATGTCGGCCCCCTTCCATCCTTGCCGAAAACCAATGCCCATCATTGTGTCTGGTGGGCCTGCGCACAGCACGCCATACGCCACCACCCCCGCCGTTCCTGTCAAAAACCACTTGACAGCAATCGCGGGGTGGCCGCGCATGATCCAGATTTGGCCGCGAGGCGCATCTTGTATTGTCTTGTATTAAGGATGGTAGCCCTGCGCACAGCAGGCAATATGCTGACATCCCCGCCGTCCTCGTCAAAAACAAAACAACGTGCTCGCGGGACTCACGAATATGATTCAAGACTTTGCTTCAATGTGTACTTTGTATTCTTTTTGGCCAGGGATGGTGTGCGTGTGGGGGGGCGCATCGGGTTGGCCGCGCATGTTCCACATTTTGGAGGCGGAATGCGTTTTCCATTGTTTTTGACAGGGATGGTGTTTGTGTGGTGGGGTGAGCATGGGGTCCTCATGGTTCTTGGTTGGCTGTCGGTCGCCTGGAGAAGGGGGTGCACATTGACAGGGAACAGTGATAGACCCTTCCCCCGAGCAGGGGAAGGAGGAGTTTTGGCAGAGAGAGAGAGAGAGAGGCAGAGAGAAAACAATATTCGTTAAACCACCTACGCCCAAAGGGCTGGTGGGATTATGGGCAACAAGCCGGTGCGCCCCTCCCCCCTCCCGAACCTCCTTGGGACAAGCGGGTGTTCACCTACCCCTACTGCTCCCCCAGTCCCCCGACGTCCTGATTCTTTCACGGCGTCGACCCCCAGAGGTCTGGACCCGTTCCCCAGCACTGGCTTCTCATCACGAGTCGTCTTTTGACGGCCCCAGGGCCCAGCGAGGGCCCCCGGAGGCCGAAACTGGCGAGAAGCCTGCCGCCGTGCTTTTTGTCATGACCCGAGGGGGGTCTGGGCCCCCTCCCCCATGCCAGACATGCGACGTCCTGATTTTTTCACATCGGGGTCCCTGGTAATCCCGACCCGTTCCCCAGGACTGATTCTTCATCCCGAGTCGTTTTTTGATGGCCCCGAGGCCCGGCGAGGGCCCCCCGAGGCCGAAGCTGGCCGAAAACCTCCCGTCCGGATTTTTTGTTTCACGGCGCGATCATATTTGGGGCCTCCTCCCCTGTTCCCTCCTCCCGCCCACGAGTCCTCCCTGCGGCCCTCTGGGTCGCGCCCCCCCCTCCTCCTCCTCCTCCTCCTCCTCCTCCTCCTCCCTCCCCTCCTCCTCCTCCTCCTCCTCCTCCTCCTCCTTCTCCTCCTCCTCCTCCTCCTCCTCTTCCTCCCCATCCTCCTCCTCCTCCTTCTCCCCACCGTGACAAGTGGAAGTCTCGGGCTATGTCTTCTGGATTTTCGCAGACGTTAGTTTGTCTTATGATGAACCAATATGGGGGACCGAGGGTAGTTGCAACGAGGACCTTGGCTACTTATGCTTGTTGTGCCACTAAAGGTTTCCCCGCGGGATGCTCGTTCGCTATCTACAACGTGCAAATGTACACAGTGCCCCCCATGGACTCCTGGGTCCCGAAGTTCCCCACAGTGGACCCCTCCATCTTCATAGATGACTTCATGTTGGCCAGCAGCAACACTAGTGTGAGGCTGCTGGTGTCGGACTTGGCGCAGGCCGCCGACAGCATGCTAGATTTAATCGAGCAGGACCTCGATTACTCGGTCGCGCTGCACAAGGCGGCGGTGTTGGGCTCGTCAGCAGTGGTGCAGCAGAGACTGGCGAAGGCCCTTGGCAAGTACAGTGGACCCGATGGTGTCCGCCAAGCACAGTCTGCGCCAAACCTCGGAGTAGATTTTACCATGGGGAACAGGCTCAGCAAAAAGTCACGCACGACCCTCGGAACACGATCGACAAAAATGAGACGTCGTCTCCACCGTTTGGCGCAGATTAGGAGAGCAGGTGCAAATATGCGTAAGATTTACCAGACAGGGCTGAAGGCGGCCGCCTACTACGGAGCAGAGGTGGTCGGTCTCACCAACCCCGAGGTGCAAGAGGCCCAATCTCTGTACCTCAAGATCGTAGGACCCAGATGTGCTACCAGATCCAGGTCTTTGGCGCTGTCGATTCTCGGGGATCCGACCTGGAGTGCCGCTCTGGGACCGGCCTGCTATTGGGCCAATATGATCTGGAGGGTTGCTCATCTACCTGGGACTGCCAGCTTTTCGCTTCCTGAACTTCGCACTCAGGCCCTGGAGGTCCTCAGCAAACCCCCGACGAAGTGGCTCCAGATAAGAGGGCCTCTCGGGGCCACGATCCTCAGCTTGGGGCGTCTTGGATGGACTATGCCCGACCCGTTTGTGTTCCAGGATGCCAGCGGTCAGGACTACCCACTCATCACGACCTCCCCAGCCTTAATCAAGAAGCTTTTTCAATCCCAGTGGCAGCAGCAGCTCGATTTGAAGGCCAGCGCGAAGCTAGGTCTCGACGAGCCGCTGGACCCGTCGCTCATGCAGCACGCGCTGCAAGATGACAGTATCCAGGGGCACAATCGCAAGACCTTGCTGTCCTACGGATGCCAGTGTATTTGGGCAAAAAGTAAGATAGCCGAGGCAGGCTACGAGGAAGAAGTCAGTTGCGAGTTGCGCCAAGGCCCCGAGGACTCCCTCCCCCACAGGCTCTTCGAGTGCCCGCAGACCAGCAACTTGAGAGAGGAGATGTTGAAGGAGGGGGACGTGGAGGAGCTCAGGGATCAGAGGAGAGGTTTCCCGTACGTCTTGGGGTTCCAGCTTCGACCTGAACCAATTGCTCTGAGGCCCCCAGGATTAAGAGTAGACCAAGCAGTGTATTGGTCGCGTGATGGGCAGCCCAAGGAGGTTGCCATGCAAGGTGAAGTTTACCACGACGGCAGTGTTTTTAAACCTGGCCCTACGGTCTTTGACGCCCCTGCCTGGTCCGTGGTTAAAATCGACGAGGAGGGCGACCTAGTTGCCTGTCTCTCGGGGCCCGTGGGGGCCAATCTTCCCCCCGCGTCGCCCGCTGCCGAGCATTTAGGATTTCTGGCTGCCGTCTCCTGCCCAAGAGTCACTAAAGCGTGGGCCGACTTTAAAGGCATCCTTTCGGTTCACCAGAGCCCCGAGGTTACTAGGAAAGGATTGTATGCAGGAATGTCTGTCTTGGCCAGGGCCCAGGACAGTTTCAGGTCCCTCGAGATAGCCAAAGTAAAGGCCCACCAGGATTTCTCGACCCTGGAGGCTGGCTCGAGGGACTGGTTTGTAGCCGAAGGAAACGACTGGGCGGATCGGGTTGCCAAACTAGCTGCTGCCCAGATTCCCGCCCCGCCCTGGATGGAGATTGAGTATTATAAAGAAACCCGCAGTCGCGTACTGAGATTTTTGAAGTATGCAGCGGAGGCGCTCTCCTTGTGGCAGGCCCTCGCCCCAAAGACGGGGAAGAAGGCCTACGAGAAGCTTCCCCAGAGCCTCAACCCCCCTGTCGGAGCCGCGGGCGCGGTCAAAGACTGGACCCCGCCCCCTCAGCCCCCTGAGGGTCTTCCTCGGCGGGCCCGTGCGGCCCGCCGTAACCTTCAGGTTTTGGCTCGCCACCAGTGGGGCTGGATCAACAACCGCTGGCTGTGCTTAGCGTGTCACACTCGTGCCCGCACTGATAGCACCCGCCAAACCCGTTCGCGAGATGTGTGCCCTGGCAATTCTGCAGCGCTGTCCCACTTAATTAGAGAGCCCAGGAAGCACCGACTGTTGATTTGCGATTACCTCGATGTCGACTCCTTTCTCATAATCTGCAAGAGGTGCGGCCGTTATTCGGAGAGCAACTTCAAAGGACTCAGAGGTGAATGCAGTGAGCGCTTCAGAAGCAAGTTCTCTGAAGGTGCGTGGTCTCGGGTGTCAGGCGGCCGTCATCCGAAAGACAGTATGAAGGCCCGCCCCCGACTTGCCTAGCCCTCCCGTGCAGCCCAGCTCCTCAAGGAAGGGGCGGCGATGTATGGTCGAAGAAGGGCGTAAGGGGAGAACGGATGTAATCCCAAGGTTTCGGTTAGGGTCGGGTCGGCCTAACCCTAGCCTTCTTCTTCAGCATGTGATGGTCCTCCTCCTTCTCCTCCTCCTCCTCGATCCTCCGCGCGTGGCCCCCGGGGAG